CCTATCCCCTCCTCCCACCTCAAGCCGCACCTCCATCTCCTACCGACCAACCTCATCCCGCCCCCTTGACCTGTCCGTCCTCCCTGGACTGACCTATCCCCTTCCTAACTCCCTACCTACACTCACCTTTACTGGCTCCATCCCCGCCTCTTCGACCTGTTTGTTTCCTCTCCACCTATCCTCTCCTCTATCCCTCTTCTATCCGCCTCCCACTCTCTCCCTATTTATTTCGGAACCCCCTTCCCCTCCTCCTTTTCTGATGAAGGGTCCAGGCCCGAAACGTCAGCCTCTCTGTTCCTATGATGCTGCTTGGCCTGCTGTGTTCATCCAGCCCTGCACCTTGTTGTCACTGAGCAGGTTATTGCTGAGCTAGTGCTACTTTGATAGCACTGCTGATGACACCTTCCATCACTTTACAGATGATCGACAGTCGACTGATGGGGCGGTAATTGGCCGGGTTAGATTTGTCCTGCTTTTTGTGTAAAGGACATGGGCAATTTTCCACATTGCTGGGTAGTGTGGAAGAAATTAGCATGTTGTAGGGGGTTCGAGAAAAGTCAGTGTCAAAAAGGCAAAAAGAATATGTGACAGACAGAACATTAAAAGGAAGTGTCAACCCAAAGTGTTCAAACCCCCCTAGTTCTTAGTAACTGCTATCTTTGTAAATCCTAATCACATTTTTGCCCTAGTCAATAAAATAAGTGTACGTTAGCTAAACATTAACAGAAGGATAAAGCCTGCAGCTCGGGAAGATGAGATTTCTGGAGAACATTAAGCTTTGGACCGCGAGATCACGGTTATCTGTCGCGTTGACTTGTTTGTCTCTCTCCATAAATACCCTGTAATTCTGCATTGCCGCAGAGTCTTCGGTATCTAACAAAAACCAAAAGAACTGCGGATGCTGTAAATCAGGAACAAAAACAAAGTTGCTGGAAAAGCTCAGCAGGTCTGGCAGCATCTGTGCAGGAGAAAACAGAGTTAACGTTTCGGGTCCGGTGAGGATATTGAGGAAGGTTCACTGGACCCGAAACGCTAACTCTGATCTGATCAAGTTAGATCAGAGAGAAGGGAGAGGCAAGATCACATGAGGAAGATTGAAACTCGCTCTAAAACCCTCCGTGTAACTAAATTATGAGCCCACAAGGAAGTGTAACTAAATTATGTGCACATAAGGAAGCCACAAGACTTCGAGGGCTGAGGTACTAATAAGCGCTCGCGGGTGAGAGGATTTAGTTATTAGAATAAGATAGAGTAATATAGTACACTGTAGTATATTAAATAAGGAATATTGTATAGATTATTGTGATTCTTTGTTTAAACCCTCGGTAAGTGGGTTTTTGTACTAATGGGTTATTCTACCAGCACAAATGAAAGGACCCCGGAAGAAACAATTTCCTGTGAAAATGAGGAAAAAGACAGCAAAAAGTATAAGGAAAGTTGAGAAAACAAAGGAAGATGTTGGGTGATCCCCTGGTACCTCCCGGCTCCCCTGCTGATGAGGTTTGGCTTGAAACTGGAGACAGCAGGTACTCTCTTACATTTTCTCATGATCTGTACGGGTGGTCCCATGGGGACTGGCCTTATGGCGGTACTTTTGATTTGAGAAAGATACACTATTGGAAAGATTTGACACAACGTGGGTATGGTGATCCCACTTGGGATAACGTGCTGTTTAAGAAGTGGCTAGAAGTTGCAGCTCGTCACCAACCGCCTAAAAAGAGTTCCAAAGCGAATCAGGGTAACGCTGGTCACGGTGCCAGCATTTCTGTCATTCCTAGCGCATCGCCCACATGCATGTACAAGCGCCCGAAGAAAATCCTCTTGATACAGATGAAATATTACTTGCTTTTGCAATAAAATAACACCCCCCACCCCCAACCCCCCTTTTATACCGCCTCAGGCCAACGTCCTGACAATAGGCAAGAGACTGAACCGGGACAAGGGTCGACAGCCCCTTCCCAATGAATTACTCGGCAACAGGCAGCCAAGGACAGGGACAGTACAGTCCCCCTGATGCCTCATATCATGGTTGGGAATGTTGCTGTCCTACGACCGTGGACACCATCTAAGGTTCGAAGTATGATCAATGATGCCCCGAATCCCCGGAAAAAACCTATTCCAATCCATAACTGGTTGGCGCAGACTTGTCAAATCTATAATCCACTCTCAGGGGATGTTTTGTTGTTGCTTAAAGTTGCTTGTGGCACCTCCTGGTCTGGTGTGAAGGGCCTATTTGCGGTGCCAAGAGGTCAAAACAGTGATTGGGTTGATGCAGATGACTCAGAGCCTGACAATGAGAGCCGAGATACCTGGCTTCAAGCTAAAGCTACAGCTAAAGATGCCATTACCAATGCGGCCAGACAGCATAGTGATTTTGGGGAGGTTGCCTGCTGTTTGCAGAGAAGAGGGGAATCTTTAATGGACTTCCTGGCTAAGTTTAGGGATACTTGGGAATCTTCAGCAGGGATCGCACTTGATGATAACGGTCCATTGGCCACTCAAACCTTATTGAATTGTTTGGACCCCGCTACTGCCCAAGCTTTTAAATTGGTTAATCTAAACTGGCAACATCAAAATTGGAATGATACGATCACTTCTCTCACCCATATAGATTGACAGGGGTTGTTCAGTAAAGCCAAACACCCAAAGGGCCAATTCGTACAATAATCCAGACCCCCCATGGCACGATCCCGTGCTCACCAGGAAGATCAGCGAAATTGTACCTGGTGAGGGATACCCAGGGATAGGAGTCAGGATATGTGCCGTTGTTGTGGTGGCAAAGGACATCGGGCAAGGGATTGTCACCGCTCCACTAACACTAACGATAAGACTGCTGCTCCTTCTCAGTCCAATATGGCCCCTTTTACGTTTCATAACCCTTTCCCCAAGAGTCAACGGGGGGCCATGAGGGGGTTATACAGGCACTTATGATTCGACTCTCATCCTCTCCCCATGAAAACCCCATGCAAATGTCAATATTAACGGGAGACGAGTCCAATTTCTTATTAAATCCGGCGCTACTGTTTTGTCTGTTCCCTCCCTCTGTGGATGTTCCTAGTGAATCAAAACATATATCCACTATAGGAATTTCCCGTATCCCTCGGTGGAACATCTCTCCGATCCTGTCCCTGTGACAATTGGTGGCCGAACCACTGATGAAACTTTTGTTATTGCAAAACATTCCCCGATTTGTTTCAGAGATAGTAGGAACTGCAGATGCTGGAGAATCCGAGACAACAAGGTGCAGGGCTGGATGAACACAGCAGGCCAAGCAGCATCATAGGAGCAGAGAGGCTGACGTTTCGGGCCTGGACCCTTCATCAGAAAAGGAGGAGGGGAAGGGGGTTCTGAAATAAATAGTGAGAGAGTGGGAGGCGGATAGAAGATGGATAGAGGAGAGGATAGGTGGAGAGGAAACAAACAGGTCGAAGAGGCGGGGATGGGGCCAGTAAAGGTGAGTGTAGGTGGGGAGTAAGGAAGGGGATAGGTCAGTCCAGGGAGGACGGACAGGTCAAGGGGGCGGGATGAGGTTGGGCGGTAGGAGATGGAGGTGCGGCTTGAGGTGGGAGGAGGGGATAGGTGGGAGGAAGAACAGGTTAGGGAGGCAGGGATGAGCTGGACTGGTTTTGGGATGCGGTAGGGGGAGGGGAGATTTTGAAACTTGTGAAATCCACATTGATACCATTGGGCTGCGGGGTTCCCAAGCGGAATATGAGTTGCTGTTCCTGCAACCTTCGGGTGGCATCATTGTGGCACTGCAGGAGGCCCAGGATGGACATGTCGTCTGAGGAATGGGAGGGGGAGTTGAAATGGTTTGCGACTGGGAGGTGCAGTTGTTTATTGCGAACCGAGCGTAGGTATTCTGCAAAGCGGTCCCCGAGCCTCCGCTTGGTTTCCCCGATGTAGAGGAAGCCACACCGGGTACAGCGGATGCAGTATACCACATTGGCAGATGTGCAGGTGAACATCTGCTTGATGTGGAAAGTCTTCTTGGGGCCTGGGATGGGGATGAGGGAGGAGGTATGGGGGCAGGTGTAGCACTTCCTGCGGTTGCAGGGAAAAGTGCCGGGTGTGGTGGAGCTGGAGGGGAGTGTGGAGCGGACAAGGGAGTCACGGAGAGAGTTGTCCCTCCGGAAAGCAGATAAGGGTGGGGAGGGAAAGATGTCTTTGGTGGTGGGGTCGGATTGCAGATGGCGGAAGTGTCGGAGGATGATGCGTTGGATCCGGAGGTTGGTGGGGTGGTACATGAGGACGAGGGGGATTCTTTTTTGGTTCTTGTTGCGTGGACGGGGTGTGAGGGATGAGGTGCGGGAGATGTGGGAGACACGGTTGAGGGCGTTCTCGACCACCGAGGAGGGGAAGTTACGGTCCTTGAAAAACGAGGACAACTGAGATGTACGGGAGTGGGAGCAGATGCGGCATCAACGCATCATCCTCCGACACTTCCGCTATCTGCAATCCGACCCCACCACCAAAGACATCTTTCCCTCCCCACCCTTATCTGCTTTCCGGAGGGGCAACTCTCTCCGTGACTCCCTTGTCCGCTCCACACTCCCCTCCAGCTCCACCACACCCGGCACTTTTCCCTGCAACCGCAGGAAGTGCTACACCTGCCCCCATACCTCCTCCCTCATCCCCATCCCAGGCCCCAAGAAGACTTTCCACATCAAGCAGATGTTCACCTGCACATCTGCCAATGTGGTATACTGCATCCACTGTACCCGGGGTGGCTTCCTCTACATCGGGGAAACCAAGCGGAGACTCGGGGACCGCTTTGCAGAACACCTACGCTCGGTTCGCAACAAACAACTGCACCTCCCAGTCGCGAACCATTTCAACTCCCCCTCCCATTCCTCAGACGACATGTCCATCCTGGGCCTCCTGCAGTGCCACAACGATGCCACCCGAAGGTTGCAGGAACAGCAACTCATATTCCGCTTGGGAACCCTGCAGCCCAATGGTATCAATGTGGATTTCACAAGTTTCAAAATCTCCCCTCCCCCTACCGCATCCCAAAACCAGTCCAGCTCGTCCCTGCCTCCCTAACCTGTTCTTCCTCCCACCTATCCCCTCCTCCCACCTCAAGCCGCACCTCCATCTCCTACCGCCCAACCTCATCCCGCCCCCTTGACCTGTCCGTCCTCCCTGGACTGACCTATCCCCTTCCTAACTCCCCACCTACACTCACCTTTACTGGCCTCATTCCTGCCTCTTCGACCTGTTTGTTTCCTCTCCACCTATCCTCTCCTCTACCCATCTTCTATCCGCCTCCCACTCTCCCCCTATTTATTTCAGAACCCCCTTCCCCTCCCCCTTTTCTGATGAAGGGTCTCGGCCTGAAACGTCAGCCTCTCTGCTCCTGTGATGCTGCTTGGCCTGCTGTGTTCATCCAGCCCTGCACCTTGTTGTCCCCGATTTGTTTGCTCGGCCGCCGAGCTCTCTGTAAGCTTGGCGCCATGATTCATTGCATCCGACAAGGGCTGTTCTTGGAGCTGCCCGAATCTGCAGTCCCGCAGGCTTATAACATGCTCCCCCAAGAAATTGCCCCCGCACATGACAAAGATACTTTGTACTGTTGGCAAATGCGCAATAATCTTTTAGAAAAAATCCTAGTTCAGCTAACGGATGTACTTGCGGCCTCCCTACCCGCGCTCCTGCATAGTCTTCGTTATCTGCTTCTCACCTCCAGATTCCTTACCCAAGCCCACTGCATGGCCCTGTTCTCTGTGGGCCCGGTGTCAGCTGAATAGTCCCAACAAGTGGCTCCTATTTGTCGGAGCATTCGCTTCTCCAGTTTGGGGGTGCCATATACTACGGCCCTCAAGGACTAGGTGCTGCTGTCTATTTATCCTCGACTCAAGGGCCCCTGTTTGCGATGGGTCCCGAGTCGGTTCCCCATGTCACCTTAGCTGTAAAAGCTCCTGCTAAATCAAAAGATATTGGGCCTATGATTAAACGCCTAAGCGAGGCTTCACCCACCAGTTCTGTTGACCTCTCGCTCCTTAGTTGGGGATCCATTATAGTTGAAATTTACTCCTCCCTCACCGGCTGCATTCACTTCCATCCTGATTGTTGGACGACTACATTTTGTCGCTTTCACCACCACCCCCGCTGCCACCCGAACTGATCCCCCCCTCTCCTTCTGCGCTCGGTTCCCTCTTCTTCGTAGGCATTGCATAAAAATCATGTTGGTCTAGTGACCTCTGCTCAGCCTCATGTGGTTTGCCTAAAGGAGGGTGTCTCCTTGCCCTCCATCCAGCAATACCGTCTATCCAAAGAAGCAGAGGTAGGCATTCGCCCAGTTATTGATGCCCTCTTGTGCCAAAGCGTTCTGCGTCCCACACAGAGCCCTCGAAACACACCTATCCCTAAGCCCGGACAGAAGGATGTATGGCGTTTTGTCCAGGATTTCCGCGCCATATATCAGATTGTTATCCCCATACTCCTGTAGTTCCCGACACCCAATACCAACCTTACCTCCTTGCCACCCAACTCCACATGCTACACAATCATTGACTTCTGTTCAGCCTTCTTCTCAATACCCCTCACAAAGGAAAGCCAGTATCTGTTTACCTGGACTCGATTGCCCCAAGGATACACTGAAAGCCCTGCAGTTTATACTGCTGCGGTTCAAAAGGACTCACTTGATTTAGCCCTGCCCCATGACAGAACCGTTTTGCAGTACGCCAATGATCTTTTGGTTGCTTCTACGACTATTGGGGTTTGCGCCATGGGACACTGTCGCACTCCTGTGTCATCTCACCTCAAAGGGCCACTGGGTTTCGGCCTCCAGCTCTGTCAGTCAATGGTGCAGTACCTGGGGCATGTCTTCACGGATGGCACACGTCACATGGGTCTGGAGAGAATCGCTACTATCTTAAAAGCTCTGCACACTTCTACACAAAAGGAGATGTTATCATTTCTGGGCATCGTCAACAACTGCCATCAATGGATTCCTGAATATCGCTGCATGGATGCTGTTCTTCATGAAAACCATCCTTTGAGGGCATCCTCCTAACATTGAGTGGACGGAAGAACGGGTGCAGACCTTTGAGGAGCTCTGCCAGGCCCTCACACAGGCTCCTGCTCTTGGTATTCCAGACTATAATAAGTCTTCCGCTCTGTACGTTAGTGAAAAGGAGGACTTCGCCAGTGGTATTCTTACACAAGAATATGGTGGTCTTAAGCGCCCAGTGGCCTCGTCAGCTCACCTGCTGCCTGTTGCCCGTGGTATGCCGAGCTGTCTATGTTCCGTTGCAGCCACCGCTGTTATGCTGGAAAAGTCAACCCCAATTGTCCTTGACCATCCTTGCATCGTCCTGACTCCTCATGCTGTGGTTGCTGCTATTAAACTCTGCTGCTACACAACATTTTTCTGCTGCCCGAAGGACTGGATATGAGGTCATGCTATTGCCGAAACCCAATGTCACCTTTCACTGTGCCCCATCCCTCAATCCCGCCTCACTGCTCCCCAACACATTGGTTGACTCTGATCATGATTGCCTACAATTTGTTGACTCGGTTACCTCTCCCTGTCCCAGCCTACATTCTACCCTTTTTGACAATCTCTACCTCATATTGTTCAGTGATGGCTTCTCCATCTGTCCCTATGAGACCACCACTATTGCCAGTTACGCTATTGTCACCCCTTTCGAGACTCTCGAGTCCTTTGCTTTGCCCCCTGGAACATCTACACAGGCAGCCAAACTCTTTGCGCTCACCCGCGCCTGCAATCTTGCCACAGGAAAATTGGCTAACACATACCCAGATTCCCGCTATGCCTTTGGAGTGGTACACGATATTGGCACCCTCTGGAAATATTGGGAGTTTATCACCTCCTCCGGGAAGCCTATCCAACATGTCATTTTGATTTCTAATCTCTTACAGGCTGTCCTCCTCCCCTCTCGACTGGCCATTCTCAAATGTGACACCCATACGAATGGCCAGGACCCTGTCTCCTCAGGGAATTCAGCTGCGGACACGACAGCAAAACACACGGCTGTGTCATCCTCCATGGTGGTCACCATCTGTGTATGTCAGGACTCTCCTACTGTTATTGATTATGCCACTGCCAGAGGCCCAATGTGGGGCGCCTGATGCCGAATTCTCCCCGTGGCCTCGCCAAGGCTGCACACCTAACGATGAGGGATTGTGGTCCCATCCTGACGGCTGCATTGTGTGCCCTCGGGCCTCCTGCATGCCCTGACCCGCCATGCGCACGGGCAGGGTCATGTAGGAAAAGGAGGGATTGTACATATGATTACACAACAGTGGTTTGCGCTAGGCATTACGGCCGCTGCAAAACATATTACAGACACCTGTGGAGTTTGCCAAGAGCACAATAAAGGAAAGACCCCTGCAAAATTCGACCACTTGCCGGTGCCGGTTGCCCATTCGCCAGTTTACATATGCCTGCATCGGGAGGATTTAAATATATCTTAGGTGATAGTAAATATGTTCTCGAAATGGGTAGAGGCTTTTGCTACTCGAAAAGATGATGCAACACCAGTAGTAAAATGCTTAATGAAGAACATTATTCCACGTTTCAGAATACCTATGAGCATTAACATTAGCATTAACAAAAGTTATGGGATGTGAGTGGAAAATGCATATACCATATCAGCACCAATCGTCAAGCCTCATTGAGCGAACTAATGACACCCTGAAAAGTAATTTAGCCAAAGTGTGTGCAGATACTGGACTAAAATGGCCTGAGGCCCTCCCCATTATCCTTTACACCTTAAGAAATCAGTTAAATAGGACAACGGGATTAACCCCTTTTGAGGTATTAATGGGTCGACCCATGACAACAGGTACAAAACCTCCTGTGACTGGTCCAGACATTGCTCTCGCTTGGGTGGATGAAAAAACTCTGCAGTATGCACAAGCGCTAACTGATGCTGCTAGAATAAATCGTGAGAAAGTAATAGCAGCCCTGCCGAAACCCCAAGGGAATATGCGTCCCTTTAAACCCGGTGACTTCGTATACGTTAAATCACTTGCAAAGGATTCTCTTTCTCCCAGGTGGAAGGGCCCATATCAAGTTCTACTGACTACCCGAACAGCGATCAAAGTACAAGGAAAACCAGACTGGATCCACGGGACTAGGTGCAAATTTGATCAAGGTTCCCTCTCTGATTCGATATCATGAAGCTGATCCTGATTTTACTGGGACTCTTGGGTCTTAGCAGCCCCAGGACTAGCATAAGGAATGGACTTTGCATAACTTCTTTTTGTCATTAAGCTATGAATATGCTATACATTTAAATATGTCCTCCTGTTGGGTCTGCACTCATGTGCCAACAGACTCGACAAAGGGAATTTCATTACAATCTATTCCTTTTAATGCCCCTGAAGTACCCGAATGGGTATTGAGACAAAATAGCTCAGAATCAGGAGAGAGAGAGAAGGATCAACTACCAATGACAGATGCTACGTGGTAAATACAGACCCAGATAGGGCACCCCCCCCCTTATTTCACCCTTGGCCATAAAGCAGACCAATATATTTCTCTTTGCTTTACACGGAATGAGACACAGAGGAAAGGCACATTTATGGGAGAGTGATCATGCCAGCAATACTAAAACGTTACCCCTGTTTTCAGTAGTAACTACACTTGAACTCAAATTGACTCACGCGTAACCTTCTTGGGCCGTGGACGTAGTCTTTTGAGATTTACCAATCTCAGCAACAATCAGTCATGGGCCCAGGTACGGTCTTACACGTTTGTAACTCAACTTGTGCCCTATAATGGTACCTATTTTGTTTGTGGCCATCGTGCATACGCCTGGTTGCCCCCAACTTGGACAGGATCATGTTATATGGCCTATATAGTTCCTCACATTCGCCATTCGTCCACTATACCCTTACCCCAAGGATGTGGGAAACAAAAACGAGATATGACTGAAACTGAACGATTTTGGATGATCACCTTCCCTATATATGGGACTGGTAAAGCTACTCGTGAATTGATTACTATGGCCTTAGGTCTTGAACAAATTGCCAATGCTACCAAGCTCCTGGCCGATGGCTTAGACAGTACCACTAAAGCCATATCTCATTTGTCTTCTGAGCTGGTCACTGTCAGGACAGTTGCATTACAAAATCGATTCACATTAGACTTCTTTTTAGCAGAGAAAGGTGGCACCTGTGCGGTAAAAGGATGAGAATGTTGTACTTATATTCCTGACAAAGCAGAAAATATTACCCATTTAGCTGATCATATCCAGGAAGGTGTTAAAAAGGTAAAGAAAATTGCACAGAATATAGGCGAAGAATTCCATAACTACAATCCTGGGACAGGATGGTGGCTATTTGGGACTTGATGAGGGACATTAGTTCACTATGGCATCATACTTATTATTGTTATTATTTGTGTGATAGCATTGTGCTTAATTTGTTCATTTATCCCTCACCCACAACCACTCCGGTCCCTTTCTTTCCCAAGATTATGCATTATTCACCAGAGTATGATGAGGAGGCCTCTTTAAGCATGTGCCCCTATCCCACTGGATACGATCGCCCATTTGCAGACGAAGATTAAAGGATGTAGGATCAAAAGGGAGGGAATTGTGGAAGAAATTAGCATGTTGTACGGGGTTCGAGAAAAGTCAGTGTCAAAAAGGCAAAAAGACTACGTGACAGACAGAACATTAAAAGGAAGCGTCAACCCAAAGTGTTCAAACACCCCTCATTCTTAGTAACTGCTATCTTAGTAAAACCTAATCACATTTTTGCCCTAGTCAATAAAATAAGTGCATGTTAGCTAAACATTAACAGAAGTATAAAGCCTGAAGCTCAGAAAGGTGGAGGAGATTTCTGGAGAACGTTAAGCTTTGGACTGTGAGATCGCTTACCTATCATGTTGACTTGTTTGTCTCTCTCCATAAATACCCTGTAACATTGCATTGCTGCAGAGTCTTTGGCATCTAACCTTTGTTAGCGTTGACTCTCCGTGATATCACAAATAAAAAGTTCTCTTTACCTGGAAGTCTGACAGCTGCAGTCCACTTATTCTCAATTCTCTAACAGGTAAATGCCAGTGTTGAAACTGTGCTGGAACAGCTTGGCTAGGGGAGTGGCAAGTTCTGTAGCACAAGTCTTCAGCACTGTTGCCGGAATGTTGTCAGGGCCCGTAAGCTTTTGCAGTATCCAGTGTTTCCAACTGTTTCTTGATATCATGTTAAACAGATCCAACTGTTTCATGGATGAAAGTAGAGCAGTGGATGTGGTATATATGGATTTAAGTAAGGCGTTTGATAAGGTTCCCCATGGTAGGCTCGGAAAATGCGGCAGGTTGGATTCAAAATTGGCTGACCCTTAGAAGACAAAGGGTGGTACTGGACGGAAAATATTCAACATGGTGCTCAGTTACAAGTGTTCTGGGTCCTCTTCTATTTGTGATTTTTGTAAATGATTTGGATGAAGGAGTGGAAGGGTGAATTAGTAAGTTCGCGGACGATACGAAGGTGGGTCGAGTTGTGGACAATGCGGAGGGGACATCGGAGGACAATACAAAGAGACATTGATAGGATGCAGAGCTGGGCTGAGAAGTGGCAGATGGAGTTTAAACCTGAAAAGTGTGAGGTGATTCATTTTGGAAGGACAAACTTGAAAGCAGAATACAGGGTTAACGGAAAGATTCTTGGCAGTGTGGAGGAGCAGAGGGATATTGGGGTTCATGTCCACAGTTCCCTGAAAGCTGCCACCCAGGTGGATAGAGTTGTTAAGAAGGCGTATGGTGTGTTAGCTTTCATTATTAGAGGGATTGAGTTCAAGAGCCGTGAAGTTATGCTCCAGCTATACAAAAGCCTGGTTCGGCCACATCTGGAGTATTGTGTCCAGTTCTGATCGCCTCATTACAGGAAAGATGCGGAAGCGTTGGAAAAGGTGCAGAGATTTACCAGGATGTTGCCTGGAATGGAGGGAAGGTCTTACGAGGAAAGGTTGAGAGAGCTAGGGCTTTTCTGTTGAGAACGACGAAGGATGAGAGGTGACTTGATAGAGGTATACAAAATGATCAGAGGTATAGATAGAGTGGACAGCCAGAGACTTTTTCCTAGGGTGGAGGTAGCTATTATGAGGGGGCATAGTTTTAAAGTGAGTGGAGGTAGACATAGGGGAGACGTTAGAGGTAGGTTCATTACTCAGAGAATGGTCGGGGCGTGGAATACATTGCCGGAGAGGGCAGTGGAGTCGGCCTCATTAGGGGCATTTAAACGGCTATTAAATAGGCATATGGACGATAGTATAAGGTAGAGGTGGAGGTTAGATAGACCTTAGGATTAGGGTAAAGGTTTGGCACAACATCATGGACCGAAGGGCCTGTACTGTGCTGTACTGTTCTATGTTCTATCACGTGGACTGAATCGAATTGGCTGAAGACTGGTATCTGTAATGCTGGGGACCACTGGAGGAGGTTGAGATGGATCATCCACTCAGCACTTCTGGCTGAAGATTGCTGTGAATGCTTCAGCTTTATCCATTGCACTGATGTGCTGGGCTCTTCCATCATTAAGGATGGGGATATTTGTGGAGCCTCCTCCTCCAGTGAGTTGTTTAATTGTCCATCACCATTCACGACTGGATATGGTAGGACTGCAGAGCTTAGAGCTGATCCGATCGTTGTGGGATTGCTTAGCTCTGTCTATCACTTGCTGCTTTCGCTGTTTGGTGTGCAAATGGTCCTGTTTGGTGGCTTCACCAGGCAGATACTTCATCTTCAGGTATGCCTGGTGCTGCTCCTGGCATGCCCTCCTGCACTCTCCATTGAACCAGGGTCGATCCCCTGGCTTGACAGTAATGGTTGAGTGGGGGATATGCCGGGCCATGAGGTTACAGATTGTGCTGGAGTACAATTCTGCTGCTGTTGATGGCCCACAGCGCCTCATGGATGCCCAGCATTGAGTTGCTAGATCTGTGCGAAGTCTGTCCCATTTAGCATTAGATAATGCCACACAACACGATGGCAGTTGTTCTCAATGTGAAGGCGGGACTTTGTCTCCACAGGACTGTGTCTCCACAGGACTGTGCAATGGTCACTCTTACCGATACTGTTATGGACAGATGTATCTGCAGCTGGCAGATTGGTAAGGATGAGGTCAAGTATGTTTCTCCCTCTTGTTGGTTTCCTCACCACCTGCCGCAGACCCAGTCTAGCAGCTATGTCCTTTAGGACCCGACCAGCTCAGTCTGTAGTATTGCTGCTGAGCCACTCTTGGTGGTGGACATTGAAATCCCCCGTGCAGAGTACATTTTGTGCCCTTGTCGTCCTCAGTGCTTCCTCTAAGTGTTGTTCAAAATGGAGGAGTACTGATTCATCAGCTCAGGGAGGACAGTATGTGGTAATCAGCAGGTGGTTTCCTTGCCCATGTTTAACCTGAAGCCACAAGACTTCATGGGGTCCTGAGTCAATGTTGAGAATTCCTGGAGCTACATCCTCCCGACTGTATACCACTGTGCCACCACCTCTGCTGGGTCTGTCCTGCCGGTGGGACAGGACATATCTAGGGATGGTGGTAGTGGTGTCTGGTACATTGTCTGTAAGGTATGATTCTGTGAGTATGACTACATCAGGCTGTAGCTTAACGAGTCTGTGAGATAGCTCTCCCAATTTTGGCACTAACCCCCAGATGTTAGTGAGGAGGACTTTGCAGGGTTGACAGGGCTGTTTCTGCCATTGTCCTTTCTGGTGCCTAGGTTGATGCCAGGTGATCTGTGGGTTTCATTTCTTTGAGACTTAATAGTAATTGGTACATCTGAGCGGCTTGCTAGGCCATTTCAGAGGGCAACTGAGAGTCAAACACATTGCTGTTGGTCTGGAGTCACATGTAGGCCAGAACCAGGTAAGTGTGGCAGATTTCCTTCCCTGAAGGACGTTATTGGAGAGGATACTGAGGGACAGGATCAACCAACATTTGGATAGTCAAGATCTGCTTAGGGATATTCAGCATGGATTTGTGTGCAAGAAGGCATGCCTGACAAATCTTTTAGAGTTTTTTGAAGAGGTAAATAAGAGGATGGATGAGGGTAGGGCAGTGGATGTTGTCTATCTGGAATTTAGTAAAGCCTTTGATAAGGCTCTGCACGGCAGGCTAGTCATGTAAGTTAGGTTACATGGGATCCAGGGAGAGCTAGCTAATTGTATTCAAAATTGGCTTGATAGTAGGAAGCAGATGGTGATGGTTGGAGGTTGTTTCTCAGACTGGGGGCATGTGACTGGTGGTGTGCCGCAGGGGTCAGTCCTGGGACCTTTGTTATTTACATAAATGATCTGGATGTGAATGTACAAGTCATGATAAGTAAGTTTGCGGATGATACAAAATTAGGAGGTAATACTGATAGCGAAGACGCTTATCAAAAATTACAGAGGGATCTTGATCAGATGGGGAAGTGGGCTGATGACTGCCAAATGCAATTCAATATAGATTAATATGAGGTGTTGCACTTCGGAAAGTCAAACTAAGGTAGGGCTTATACAGTAAATGGTAAGGTCCTGGGGAGTGTTGTGGAACAGAGGGACACAGGAGTACAAGTACATAGTTCATTGAAAGCAGCGTCACAGGCAGACTGGGTGGTGAAGAAGGCATTTAGCATGCTGGCCTTAATCGATTGAGGCATTGAGTATAGGAGTTGGAATGTTATGTTACAGTTGTATAAGTCGTCGGTGAGGCCGCACTTGGAGTATTGTGTACAGTTTTGGTCTGTTATAGGAAAGACATACTTAAACGGAAAGTGTGCAAAGAAGATTTACGAGCATGTTGCCAGGAAGTAGGCCTGAGTTATTGGGAGAGGTTGGCCAGGATAGGACTTTATTCCTTGGAACATATGAGAATGACAGGTGACCTTAGTGAGGTGTACAAAATCATGAGGGGCATGGATAGGATGATTGCATATAGTCTTTTTCACAGGGATGGGGAATTGAAACCTGGAGGGCATAGGTTTAAGGTGAGAGGGCAAAGATTTAAGAAGGACCTGAGGGGAAACATAGAAAGTGGTGCGTATATGGAATGGGTTGCCAAAAACAGTGGTTGAGGCAGGTACAATAGCAACATTTAAAAAACATTTGGATAGGTACATGGATGGGAAGGACCATAGAGGGGTATGGACCAAACGTGGGCAATTGGAACTAGCCGAGTGGGCACCATGGTCAGCATGGATCAGTTTGGGCCAAAGGACCTGTTTCCATGCTGTATTAATTTATGACTCTATGACAGACCTGTCCCCTGTAGTACTGTACCCCAGAGTTACACAGTGACAGACCTGTCCCCTGTAGTACTGTACCCCAGAGTTACACAGTGACAGACCTATCCCCAATGGTAGTAGGAACTGCAGATGCTGGAAAATCTGAGATAACAAGGTGTAGAGCTGGATGAACGCAGCAGGCCAAGCAGCATCACAGGAGCAGGAAGGCTGACATTTCGGGCCTAGACCCTTCATCAGAAATGATTACGAGAGAGTTGCAGTGGGAGAGAGATCCCCTGAGGTTTGTCTGGAGGGAGGAGGGTAACTTCTTCAGGGTAGGCATCTTTAGGAGAGGCTTCGCAGTGGGTAACTCTGGGGTACAGTAGTACCCTGTAGTATTGTACCCCAGAGTTACACAGTGACAGACCTGTCTCCACTGGTACTGTACCCCAGAGTTACACAGTGACAGAGCTGTCCCCATGGTACTGTACCGAGTTACACAGTGACATCATTTCTGATGAAGGGTCTAGGCCCGAAACGTCAGCCTTCCTGCTGCTGTGATGCTGTTTGGCCTGCTGTGTTCATCCAGCTTTACACCTTGCTATCCCCAATGGTACTGTACCCCAGGGGTTACACAGTGACGGACCTGCCCCCTGTAGTGCT